AACGGGAGCTCACCCCGTCATGGGGATTCGAACCGCCGACCTTAGGTCGGCAAGTTCTAAGCTCTGTGGTTTAACCCACAGCGCCACCCGCGTCCCGTGTTTACGTCTACCTGCTTCATTTTGTTACTGGATATGAATGACGGTAGTTGAACTGATATTCACGAGAGCAAGTTATGGAACACAACTGAACTACCATTGGATTCCGCAGTATGATTCTGTGTTTGAAATATAGGTAGCATGGTGACAGAGTGATGTCACTTCCTTGACTTGTTTTGTGCTTGCTCTTTTTGTTTGTTACAAATTGCACAGCAGTCGATTTTAAATGTCAGGTTTTCAGTCATGTTCTGACGAATGTACCCGGAGTTTACAAAAATAAGACAGGGGTAAAACAGAAGTGCCTGTATCCTACTCAACTGCTTACTTTTTGAAACCTGTGCCAAGCAATTCGGCTTTTCTACAAAATCAAACCCACTTCTCTGTTTCCAAGAAACTGCAAGTTACTGTAATGCATTACAGCACAAACAATATCCTTTCCAGTCTAAAGAGTGCTTATACATTTTGCATAAGGCTAATTTACCTCAATCCATTCAGCTAGCAATGAAATCATTATGATCTCACTAAGAGGGATGATGCAAGGAATTTATTTAAAGGGATATCCTCAGATTAGAATAAAAAGAACACCAAATTTACAAGGGCAATTGGAGGTCATGGTCTTGGAACCCCAATGACAGGTTCGGAGGGTAAAGCTAAGCTATGGTTTAAGAAGTGTTTTGTGTCCAAGTCACAGTGCAACTCACGCTTTGTGTTTCCCAGTTCTTTCCACTGCTCTGGTGTATGCCAGAAGAGGAAAATGGAAACATCTACTTTTAAAACTTTTAAAATAACCATAAATCTCATTTAAGTCCAAACTTGGGGAACCTATAGATTCTCAAGTTTGGACATGAGGCACTCTGGTTACTTTAAAACTTCAAAAGAGCTTTTGATTCCTCTGTCATGAGAAAAAGAGCGGGGAGTGAATTAATGATTTTTATTTTTATTTTTATTAGGCCATGGACTATAGCAGGAAAGGAAGGGAGAGTTTCACAATTCTAAAGCTCATTATGCAAAATTAAAACTATGTTTTGCATTTACATCTGTCTTGACGACAGCAAACCCAGGTATGCTTAATTTGGAGGAAACCCAATTTAAAAATGTGATACAGTATTTGCTTTCAAGTAAATATACTTAAGAGTTGGTTGTGTAAATTGACCAATCCTATAGGAGAATCCTGCCCATTGTTAGGACTGCTTTATGCTTGTTGATAGACTCTGCTGTGTTATTTTAATACTTTTTTGATTTTTCATGTTTTATTATGAACTTGTTAACCAGCCTGGGATCTATGTGAGTGGAGGGCCATTAAGAAATCTAATGAACAAATAAATAAATAAATAAATATTCAGTGTGACAAGCTTAGAAAATTGTTAGCATATAGCTTTACTTGGTCATTTTTGTGATGTCGTACCCCAGTACAGAGTACCAAACGCCTCTTTATTTTTCTTTTATTGTTGCACTGGCTTTAACACAATAGGTTATTTCATAAGCGGAATCAGGTTAATACCTGTTGGGTTTAGAGCATTCCAAAGAAAATATAGATGCAAAGAGCAGGAAGGGTGTCGATGCTTCAAGTACTTAAGCCATTACAGTACTAGCAGGAAGTTTTCATACCATAGACTGAGTTATTTATGTATGACACATAAAATATTATGTTAGTATTTGCCTAGAGCAACACCAAACATACCATGATACTTTGATACTAAGGAACTGCTGACTTAGTTTTTTCTAGCTAAAATTCTTTTAAAATTTGGGGTTCTTTAAAGCACAGAGTACAGCTCTGGGGTTTTTTTGTTTTTGCTGGGGGAGGGGCTGGCTCCATAAAATCAGGGCTGTCTCTCTTGAGAACACTTGGGCTTGCAGTCACATGTCATTGAAAAGTGAAATTAAACTGCTATTTGCCTAACTGTTAATTTTCTGCTAATGATATTTGAGCCTTTCATTATGAATGTAAACAAGCCCAAAGCTGGGAATTATTAGTTGAAATAGGATGCAAGGTTTATCATGTTATCCAGTAATTTCTTCTACTAAAATGTTTAGGTGAACTCCCATTTTGACTCAAAAAAATCACATTTTATAGTTCAAATTGGGGAAAAATAAATACAATGGACAAAAGCGCAAAGATTCACAAAATGTTTAGGGGTATGCGTACCCCTGCGTACCCCCCCCCCCCCAAGAAAAAAAGCACTGCTGATATCTTTATTATTTTCAAACAGGTTTTTTCTCTGAAAGCAAATAACATGGAAGTGAGTCCTAAACTTGCACTACATCCCACTATAGTTCCAGAAGCAGTTTTTGCATGCGGTTGAAGCTCAAATCAAAGGGACACAGGTGGTGCTGTGGGTTAAACCACAGAGTCTAGGTCTTGCCAATCAGAAGGTCGGCGGTTCGAATTCCCCCACGACGGGGTTTGCTTCCCGTTGTTTGGTCCCTGCTCCTGCCAACCTAGCAGTTCGAAAGCACGTCAAAGTGCAAGTAGATAAATAGGTACCGCTCCGGCGGGAAGGTAAACGGCGTTTCTGTGTGCTTCTCTGGTTCGCACAGAAGCGGCTTAGTCATGCTGGCCACATGACCCGGAAGCTGTACGCCGGTTCCCTTGGCCAGTAAAGCGAGATGAGCGCTGCAACCCCAGAGTAGGTCACAACTGGACCTAATTGGTCAGGGGTCCCTTTACCTTTAAAGCTCAAATATAATGCAAAACTTAACAGTTAGGGGAAAGCTGTGAAATAAACTGCCATGTGAATGCAGACTTCCTGAGTACAGGCAGTTAACATTTTGCGCAGGGGTTCTGTTCCTGGCTCTCACACATGTTGGCAGAGCGAGCATAAGCCCGTTCTGCCCTCTTTCTGGGGTTCAAAAGGGACCTGCACATCGGCAGTCATGTGTCAATTGGACACCACATAACAGTCACCATTTGTACTGGTATTTTCAGTGGCTTGAAGGCTGTGACTGTTTTGCTGCCTTCACTCCTTTCCAGCTGAAGCTAAGTGAAGCTGCCTTTGTATAGGAATGTTTTAATCTCCACTAAGCACCTTACTCTTTCCTTTGCCTGCCCTTATCTGTCACATGTTGTCATGGGTCTTCATTTGCAGACACATTTTAAGAACTCTCAAATCAACAAATACGACAACATTGACTTTTGTTCCCTTCTATTTAAAGTAGATTGAGTGCAAATAACTGAGGCTTCTGATGCAGACTTCTTATGTTGCAAGCATCTTGCAATTTGGCCATACCAAAGGGAGCAACCCATGTTCTGACCTCTCTTGCTGCGATCCAGTTTGTCCCCAGTTAAGTGCACCCTTTTAGCGTCAGTGAGAGATAAGGGAAGAGAATATGGTCCTCTGGGAGAGATAGGAACCACAAGTGTGCAATTATTTTGCATAGATTGAGGAGCTTCGTATGTCTGAACTGAGTCTAATAGCCATAGCTGTCAACGTTTCCCTTTTTTTTAAGGGAAATTCCCTTATTCCGAATAGGAAAAGAAAAGGGAAAAGTTGAGAGCTATGCTAAGAGCATATACAGCTATTTCACCTGCAAAGTGAGTGCACTTTCTGCATTTTCATATTTCAAGGCTCTGACTTTGCAATTTAAATACACATGGTTCTATATTTGCTTCTGTGGTTTGGTGTCAACGTTGACTTGAATGTTCGACTCACCTAGTTCCCAAGGATAGGGAAATGTAACAACCTAGGTTACAGGAAGAGGAAGGGAACCGCTGGGAAGTGCCTTTTATCTTGCCTGGCTGGATCAGTCTCGCGGAGATCCCTCCGTGGGCCAAATCACATGTGTGTGTGAGCGCACGCCCCCCCCCCAATTTCCGGCATCTGCACAGAGACAATTTTCGGCATCTGCGCAGACGTGATTTTCGGCACCGCGGAAGTGAGTCCCCACGCTGCGTTGGTTAGCGCAGCACGCAAGCAGGCAACTCAGTTCAGGGGCAGCTCATGGGTTGGTAAAATGACCTCCACAGGCCGCTTCCGGTCCATGAGCCTTAGGTTGCCGATCCCTGGTATAGCCAGATAGAGCAGAAGCAGGCAAGAAAGATGAGACATTAAATTCATATGTGCATTTAATGTATCTTGCCTTTTGCTTTAAAAATAACAGCCATGGAGGATCTAAATCAAGACTGCAACCTTCCCCCTGAATAATCCTCACCCCCAAGCTTCCATTGGCACCATGCCACAGTCCCTCTCAAAGGAAACAGCAATTGTTACGGTGTAGGATTTCCATGGTACCGGAAGATTAAAATGTCATGGATGTATCAGGGGGGCAGCTGCATTTAAAATACTATATTATCTGAGGTTCTGCCCCGCCCCCCCCCCCGCCCCCCAGCAGAAGCCTGCCCCCGCCATAATGTCCTGTTACCCATGATCTCCCCCAAAAAAGCTCAACAATTTTTGGGGGCGATCTGCCAAAAAAAGCTTAACAACAGTCAACAAAAAAAAAAAATAGCTACGCCCACGTAAATGAATCCCAGCGTAAAACTGTGCTTTATGTATAATGATGATTATGTATAATGATGATGAGATTTGCCCAGTTTCACAGACAGTAGTAGCACCCACGATAGAGTTTCAATAAAACGGTATATTACCTCAGGAAATTTCTTCTTTTGTAAATACTCTGTCACTGAAGGATCAAAGTACTTCGCATAGCCCTCATTGAGGCTGTAGATTTTCCCTTTCTTCTTTATTTTTACGTCTTTTTCCACCAGAATGAACTCGCCGAGAGCCTGCAGAATAGTTAAAGGATGTCACGAGTAATAAATGCCATGCGTTTACTTCCTTGACATTCTGAGGCTTGTCCAGTTACGACCCGAATATACAGTTACATGCTCCCTACTCTTTCAAAGAGTAACAAGGCTTGGTTGCAATCCTAAATATACCTGCCAGGGTACGAGACCAATGGAACACCCTTCCGAATAAACATGCATGGGATTGCAATATGAGTTCCTTTTCAAAAAGAGAGTCCAGGGAACTTATGGCGCATTTGTAATATTTGCTTTTTTGCCGTGGAAAAAGAGGGCTTTAAAGGGCGCTCAGATATCTCCTGACCCTTTCTGTTACTTTTTTTGCTGCTTGTTTGAAGCACCCATCAGATGAGACTTGAGCAGCATTTCTCTACCGTATTCTTCCTTCTCGCTGGTGACATAATTTAGTTGTTCTTTTAGCTACCTAACAAGGGATCGCACTCCTGCCAGTAAGAGCTGTTCGACAGTGGGATTTGCTGCCAAGGAGTGTGGTGGAGTCTCCGTCTTTGGAGGTCTTTAAGCAGAGGCTTGACAACCATATGTCAGGAGTGCTCTGATGGTGTTTCCTGCTTGGCAGGGGGTTGGACTCGATGGCCCTTGTGGTCTCTTCCAACTCTATGATTCTATGATTCTATGATATCGTGATGCAAAGTGAGGGCAGGAAGAAATGCAATCATTCAAAATGAGTGGCCAGGAAGGGAGCTACACTCTACATGCTGAAAGGGTGGGTTGAATTTCATATGAATACGAGAGGGTGGCAGAAAATACTATTAGTAATGAATGTTTGCTGAAGGCTGAATGTCAGCCGAAGGCTGATCGCCGGAGAATTGATGCTTTTGAATTATGGTGACTCTTGAGAGTCCCATGGACTGCAAGAAGGATCAAACCTATCCATTCTGGAAGGAGATCAGCCCTGAAGTGCTCACTGGAAGGGACAGATCCTGAAGCTGAGGCTCCAATTACTTTTTGGGCCCACCTCATGAGAAGAGAAGACTCCCTGGAAAAGACCTGATGTTTGGGAAAGATGGAGGCACAAGGAGAAGGGGACGACCAGAGGACGAGATGGTCTGGACACGTGGTTTCTCGAAAGCGTACCACGCATGAGTTTGACCAAACATCCGGCCGAGGCCAGTGGAAGACAGGAGTGCCTGGCGCGCTCTGGTCCAGTGGGGTTAAACGAAGAGTCGGACACGACTAAACAACAACAACAACAATGAATGTTTGCACAGGTACCGGATCCAGCATGAAGCAGTCCACCCCTTGCCCCGTGGAAAGGGCTACCAAGGTTGCACTCCCGTACAAAGCATAGCCGGCTGCGACGATGTTGCGCCCAGGCTGCAAGGCATCTTTCTCGGACGGCTCGTCTTCTGATGTCTAAGGGGAAAGTGATGGTTGCACTCAAATCTCAAGTATTTTGCTGTTATTATTAAAACGCATTTGAAGAAGAAGAAAAATAAAACCACAAATTCAAATAGGACTCTCTCCCAGTTATGGCGCACATTGTACAACAGGCCCTTGTGAAAGGTTTGTATCGACACCCGACATAACGAGATAGAGTTTGGGGGGATTTTTGTAAGAGGATCTCGAGTGATAATTTCAGTGACAAACTGCAAATGGAGAACCATAGGAGGGGCACATCCAGCAGTAGTTATAAAATGGCAGTAAACGGACAGTGTTATTTTTATCTATTTCACTCACCAATTGCTTCCCATGAATCATCCCACAGCGATTTAATAATAATAAAAACAGGAGCAATGAAAGCCATTTCAAATCCAATATGCAGATAGGCTGGGATAAAAGACTTGTTGGAAAAGGAAGGCCTTCAACAGGTGCCAAAAAGAGTAAAGAGGGTGCCTGTCTGCTATGCAGTGGGAGGGAGTTCCAAAGGCTAGGTGCCACCACACTAAAGGCCCAATTCTTGCATTGTACAGAATGGATCGGCTGCTGTATATGGTTTTGTACAGCAGTACTAACACCTTGAACTGAGCCCAGTATCTAACTGGCAGCTAGCGGCAATAGAATATTCATCTAATGAAGCACTCTTGGAAACAATTCACAACGCTTCTGTACAAGTTAAAATATTGTTGTTGCTGTTCAAACTTCAGAATATTGTTAATAGTTCTAGCATTTTCCAGGGCACCTTAACTTCCAATCTTGCCACATGGCAAGCCCATTTTCTCACCTAATCATCTTGTGGTGATTTTTTCTGAATCTTAGGAAATTAATATACAATCTGGAGCCGATCTCTGCCTCTCATCCAAACCATCCTTATAGGGTTGTTGTTGGGATTCAAGTTCTAGGGGTAATTTTCTGCATCATTAGCATGGAGTTAGCAAGTATATGTATGGCTTTTGCAAGGAAAACTATTTATTTGGATACCCACAACAAAGCGAAGATATAAAAATAAAAAATGCTGCCAAGTTACTAATGTCCTTAACAAATAATAATTAGAGAATCACCATATTTTTACATTCCATACCCCTATTAATAATGTTGTAGCATTGCTTTGAGACTTGAAGCTGCAATCTCATACCCACTTTCTGGGAATATATTCTACCAAACTCCCATCTTTTAAAAATAGTTTTTATTAAAGGTTTTTTTTTGTGTTACAAAATAAATAAAGAAGTACATCCCTTGTCTCCACTTTCAATTCATAGTTTGTTTCACACTTTGCTTGCATTTAGTGACACACACTTTTGTCATAGACATCATGCATTTAGGGGGGGTGAGGAGGAAGAGGGCTGAACCCCCGTTTTGTTCCATTTCTCAGCTTAAAGGTAAAGGTAAAGGTACCCCTGCCCGTACGGGCCAGTCGTGTCCGACTCTAGGGTTGTGCGCCCATCTCACTTAAGAGGCCGGGGGCCAGCGCTGTCCGCAGACACTTCCAGGTCATGTGGCCAGCATGACTAAGCCGCTCCTGGCAAACCAGAGCAGCTCATGGAAACGCCATTTACCTTCCCGCCGGAGCGGTACCTATTTATCTACTTGCACCCGGGAGTGCTTTCGAACTGCTAGGTTGGCAGGCGCTGGGACCGAACGACGGGAGCGCACCCCGCCGCGGGGATTC